AAGATCTGATCTCAACTGCAGTTTTTATTGATATAAAAAAAGCATTTGATCATGTTTTAAAGTCAAAGTTAATTCAGACTTTGAAGATGTTATAACTGTCACTTTCTCTAATAAAATAAGTTAACTGTTTTACATTTAAAAGAATTATACAACTTTTCTTTAATGAAATGAAATAAGACATCACTGAGATAAAAATAGAAGTACTGTAAGAATCTTCAATCTCACTAATTTTATTTATAATATACACTGCATATCTATTCAAAGATAGAAATATGAAAATAGTGTGATTTCTGAGTTATATAGATGATATTGATCTAGTCTACAGCTCAAAAACTATCAAAGAGAATTTGAAAGTAATTGAAAAAGCTGAAAAGAAAATCTTTGTCAGAGTAGATATTAATTAAATTCAATTTAATATGAATAAAACTGAGTTAATTCATTTCTTTTCTAGATTCAATGAGAAAGAACTATCTCTAACTCTTTTAAATAAAGAGATTAAACCCAGTTTAAATATTAAATAATTAGAAGTATGATTAAACTTCAAGTTGAATTTTAAATATCATATTCAATAAAGAACTGTCAAGACAGAAAGACTATTAAATAACATTATCAGACTATCAAATACAGAGAGAGATCTATTCTTCCAGACTATGAGATAGTTATATATAGTCTGTATTATCTCAGTAGCTGATTATGAAGTTCAAGTTTAATAAAATAATCAAGAAAATTTCACTGAACTCTTTCAAAGTCTATAAAACAGAGCTTTGAGAAGAATTCTGAAAGCATTTAAATCATCTTCTATTAAAGTAATAAAAATTGAAGCTTCAATTCTCTCTTCTGCTATTAGATTTGAAAAGACCTGTATAAACTATGCTCTGAGAGTTATAAAGATGAGCTTAAATAATATAATCAGAGAAAGAGTCTCTTCTTCATTTTCATTAATTAACTCTGAAAATAAATCAGATTGAAATAGATTTCTTGATTGAAATGAAAATAATTCTTCAAAGAAAATGTCTTCTCAACTGTACAGACTATACTCACTGATTAAAAATCAATTTTCTTCTTTAAATATTGAAAAAGTTAATCATGAGAAGTTATCTCTCTGAAGAGAAAAGCTTGAATCTCTTATAAACTTATAAATAAGTGAACTATCTAAAGAGAAGAAATATAAACAGTATTTGAAGAGAATTTCTACAATTAATATAAAAGACTCTATTCTGATTTATTCAGATAACTTAAAAAACAAGAATTTGAATAGATTAGACACAGACATTGCTTATACTGAAAATAATATTAATTTTATCTCAGATTTCTGAAATTTAGACTATGAATCTGAAGTCTTTGACACTGAACTATTTATAATAGTGAAAGCTTTTAAACTTATTGAAATAAAATATTATAAAAGAGAAAATAGTTTGAAAGAGATATGAATATTCTCTGATAGTCAAGCTACTTTAAAAAGACTTAGAAATAGTCAGATTTATAATAATCAAATAAATCTTGAACTGATCTTAAACTATGTTTTAAAAATTTAAAAGAGAAGAATATCAAAGCTGATAATTCATCTACACTAAGTTTCTACTCATATAAATATTTATAACAATGAATTGACTGATTCAGTAGCTAAAAAAAGATTCAGAACTAAGCAGATCTATTCAAAAAATTCTGTTTTAATCTTTTATAAAGAGAAAAATAAAAGAATCTTGTTTAGATAAGTGAAATAAAAGCTGACAGAAACAAAAGAAAAGTATAGATTATTTAAGATTTGAAATAAAATCTAAGTGAAAATCTTGTTCAATTAAATATAAAAAGAAAATATTCTTATCTATAATACAGCTGAAACTAGAATATGACTGTTTCAAATCTTATATACAAAGATTTGATGATAGATTTGATTCAATAAAATGCTTATTCTGCAATACAAATGAGAATTCTGAGTATATTATAATATACTGTGCATTATACAATAGTCTCAGAGTCAGATTAAAAGAGAAGTATAATCTAAATCAATTAAATATAAGATTATTATTCTCAACTGAGACAGAAATTAAATACTTAATAGACTTTCTATTAGAAACTTAAGCAGCTATAAGAAAATAACTGAATTCAGAAATATCTGAATATGAAGAGAAGAAAATTGATCAGATATAGTCTGTTAAAACAGCTATATACTATCTTTTGATAATTTATTTCATTACAGTCTCTCTTTATTTTACTTTACTTTTTTCTTTCTATTCTTTTCTATCTATCTAATTAATATGTCTATCTTTGAGACTGTGTTGCCCCGGTGGCCGAATGGTTAATACGGCCACCCAGTAGCACCTTGGCGTGGGAAACCAAGGCGCGTGGGTTTGAAACCTGCAGGGGATACATTAAATCCAGAACTCAAGCACCTCAGGTTCCTAATAAATACAGAGGTGTACAAATCACTTCAATGAATCACTCTATATTCCTGAGCTGGGAAGTTATTATCACATGTATCTAATTGTCACTTCTTTGTATTTTTCTATGTTCTTGTTATCTTGATGTGATCTTAACACCTGTATTTCCTCCTGTATAATTAACACTTGACCTGTATTTAACATCATGCAAGGACTCATCATAAGCTCCGCTTGTATATGAGTATAATGAAATAATAATAATAATAATAATTTAAGACTGTGTTCTCTTTTCTTTTGTCATGATATTGTCAAATTGTTTCAAAGTATTAAAAGATGTTAAAACACTGCAATTTGTAAACAGTTTTTATATTCTGAGCTGGAATTTTCTGATTTTGCATATCTGAAATTGATGAATGTATAATAGTTAACTTTATAGATATAGGAAAAACTCTGAGAACTTTTAGTTCTTAGATAGATGTTATAGTCTCTAACTATATATATTTATAATTGAAGAATAATAATAATAATAATAATACATATTCAAATCTGATTCAGTTAATATTGAAATTATCTGTATAGAGATTTCTTATTAAGTTAACTGTTAAATTTCCTTATATTAATGTTGCTAATTTACATGTATATCAGCTATCTATTATTGTTATAATTTCAATATTACTCAGAGTTACTGTAACTAGACTAACTATGTAACTGTGTCTGAGATTAGAATCAGAATATTTAATAGTCTTATTACTACTCTTATCACATTTTTTAAATAAGATCATGATTTTCACTTCTCAATTTAAATTATTTTTATTACTTTAAATGACTTTAAATCTTATTTAAGTATTATTAAAAAGTGTTACTTTTTAAAAAATTAAAAATAGACTAAATAAAACCTTAAAATGTCTAAAAATAGTAACTTTATACTAAGAATGAGACTAAATGAGATTAAATGAAATCATTTTCTTATTTTTTCTAAGTCATGATTTTATTTTGAGATTTGATATATAGTCACTTTGCATGTTTTTTTTATGATTAGTCTCAGTGAGATTCATGCCAAGAAATGTATGAGACCGGATCAAATGAGACCAAATGTGAAATTCATGATCCCGGCGGCCAGTCTAACTGTGACACTGTATCTATGCTTATATTTAAGAGTTCTCTTATATTATTGATAGACATAGCTATATTATTTATTAAATGTGTGATATCTGCATTTGAGAGTTCTTTGAAATTAGATTCTTCAGTATCAGAAGAAGTGTAATTGTATAAATATTTCATATGTCTAAGATATCAGAACTCTCAGGTCTTTCACTGATGTTCTCTTCAAGAGATCTTGTTGTGGGGCCAGGGTGACTGACGAGCAAGCTTCTATCTATCTAGCAGGAACTTGATGTCCACTTAGCTAGTCTGTGATTGTTTGTTTTCTTATTTCTTACACATTGTTACATGTTTGAATATCTCTTTTTGATGAGTAATTGTTCCTAATGAGGAGATAATGAATGTTTTTCAAGTGTAAGAGGCCTACACTGAATAGATCAGTATTAATATATAGGTCTTATATAACAAAAGTGGAAAATGTTAGAGAAGAAAAACAAAAGAGAAAGTGTGAGGATCGGTGATCAGAGCGGATATTTATACGCATATGAGGTGGAGCTTCAGGGCAGAAGAATAGGTCTGTGAGTTCTTCAGCCGAGGATCGGCGACCGAGAATCGGGGCTTTCGGGCGGAAGAATAGGAATCTATGAAGTGTAATGAAATAGTCTTACGATCGGGCGCAGCCCGCCACATTTTGTTATATAAGACCTATATCTTAATGCCGATCTATTCGGCGTAGGCCTTTTACATATCATGATTTTATAATTCATTTATCAAGAACTCTTAACATCTTCTCTCAGATCAGCTATTACAGAGTACTTCTCTCAGTAGCTTCTTTCAGTGACTTCTCTTAGTAACTTCTCTCAGTGATCTCTTTTCTAGACTCACTTCTAGAACTCATTCTTTCAAGAACTAACTTTTAGAGCACACTTTTACAATGTCTCTTAGCACTTTTTAAATGTCCAGGGTATTTGTTTGGGATTTTTATTAAGTTTATTCTGAGATTGAACTCATGCATGTTGATCACAGTGGGGCTCACACTTAACAGTCTCATAACCTGTAGGCTACTGGGACAAAAGAGCTCAGTCACCACCAGCGCACTGCTGGTAGAAGGGCCGATCAACCCGGGACCCCCAACATCCAACTTATATAGTCTCACCTTAGATAGGATAGATTACATACATGATAACGTTATCCTCCAAGAAGAAAGGCCCCGGAAAGGTTTAAGTTTGAACCAAAGATTGGGGATTTCTCCAACTTTTTCATTGTTCGCTTTTTCTCATCCCTTCTCCTCGCAAGTCATTGCTTCTTTTTTCGTTTCTTCAATCTTCTGAAAACCAATTAAGAGATGATATGTTTGTAAAAAGCTATCGATAATACAGTCGTTCCCTCTTCCTTTTCATTGAAAGCTTGTATCTCTTTTTGCGCCAATCTCCAGCGGGAAGGAGATAAAAGAGCGAAGGTAACAGTCTCCAGGCAGGAAGGGTTTCAGCCGGTAGTACAAAAGGAAAACAAGAAAAGGAGGAAACAGCGATGCTTCCCGCCAAACCGAAGCTGACCCGGAGGCTATTATTCGCTTGCATCTCATTGATACTCATCTGTATATATCTCTCAACCGCCGCCTCTCTGACTCCGTATGCCGGCAATTTGTCACCCTACCCGCACCTAGCGGGGCAGTTCCCACGGAAGATTGGCAGACCTTGAAGGTCCACCCGCTCGGCTTTGAAAAACGAGAGACGGAATTTGCTCGAAGATGGTCATCGAAGAATCCAGGCCACAGGTATGAGGTCCTAACAGACGAAAACGATATATATTATCTGGAGACGGATTTCGGCCCCAAGGGCCTTAATCACCCAGATATAATATATGTATACCGGTCGCTGACGGCAACAATCATAAAGGCCGATCTGCTGCAGTATTTGTTCATGTATGTGGAGGGCGGGTGTATGCGGATATCGATGTCGAGGCGCTTCGACCGCTTGACAGCTTTATTCCAGATAGGTTTAGTGAACAGGAGATAGATATGATCATTGGCGTGGAGATCGACCAGCCCGAGTTCAAAAATCACGGCATCCTGGGCTCCAACTCGCAATCGTTCTGCCAGTGGACCTTTGTCTGCAAACCTCGTCTCCCCGTTATGTTATGTTAAAACTGGTGGACAACATCATCCGCCGGCTAAACCAGCTCGCTAAAAAGTAGAACGTGCCTATCTCGCAGAATATGCTCGATTTTGACGACGTGATCAGCGGTACCGGCCCCCTCTGCATTCATAGGAGCGATCTTGGAGGACATGAGCTATCGGACAGGAAGAACGGTGACGTGAGATACATTCCACAAGATGGCGGAGTCGAAGGTCGTGGGTGGTATACTTGATCTCACAGTCGAGGCCTTTGCTACGGTCCAGGGACATTCGAATTCCGGGAGCCACAATGCGAGAACTGCGTTGGTCAAGCATCATTGGCTAGCCGAATAACCATCGCAGATATATGCATCCGATGTTTGGCGAGGTCGAGAGGTGTAATTGGAATGTAGCGTGCGTGGCGGAATGGGATAGAAAGAGAGCAGAGGTCGACGCTCTTCCACTCGAAGAGCAGGCGAGGCGGATTGCCGTAAAACAGTTCGCGGATGGTTTCAATAACCCGGCTCCAAAGTAGAATGCGGTGTCGAATTCGAATCTTAAGCCCGTCCCGAGCCCCCATCAAAATCCTTGATAAATGGTGGATGGGGAATATCAATGTACGGTAGAGTTCGTGCTAATGGAGAACGACACGACCATGAACCCCGGATTGAACGTAACCGGCGAGCGACAACTCGAATACGGCATCCATGGACTCCTCGCAAGTGAAGTTTACAATGTAAACCTCGACTTCCCTTCGTCCTACGCCTGGGGGTTGAAATATGTCTCGTGCATGAAGAAGTGGATGGTATCAAATGAACCTGGCCTAGAGAAGTATAAAGCGGAGAGGGGAATGGCTCGCAGTGTGCATAGGGGTTTTGATAGCGGCTTTATGAAGCATTCGACATTCGGGGCCTCCAGTTCGTGGGTTATATTTTTGCGAATCTTTTTTTTCAATAAGAGGCATGATGGCATACATGAATAAACAAGGCTTCCTTTTCTTCTTTTTGATTTCTTTTCTTTTGAACGGAGCGGATTTGGTGTTTATTCATAAATAGGATTTAAGGAGCGATGTTTCTTTTCCCTTCCCGTCTTCATGATTTATATTGCTGGAATGGATTTCCTCCTTCCTTCTGCCAAGGCGTCCCAGTTGACCAGTCTATGCGCGGAGAGAGCGGATATATACATCTTGGAGTTTTCCTTCCCCCCCCCGTCCCACCCCCTTTTCTTTTTTTCTTTTTTTTTTTTAGCGTGGTTTGTTCGTGATGTAGTTATAATGTACATACGTAGGCTCGTGATCATTATTTCTTCCAAAATTGTATTTTCTTCTTCTTTTTTTTTTTTTTTTTGCTTCTACCTGGTATTCCGTCTATATTTATGACGGTAGAATAACCATCGCACAATCAAGGCCATAGGGAGAGCAAGAACAAGAACAAAGGGGGAATGGGCCGCGAAAAGCTCTCGGGTCATCTATTTCCACGATTTCATTCTTCTTGTTGCATTTGTAGCTCCTCTCGGAGCAAATCAGCAACCAAAGGTGAATTAAGCTCAGTGGACGCATCCCGTATGATAGAATCCCAAACATCAGGGTCCAGTCGGCGTAGCGTCCGAACCCAGTCGGTCAATGGGCTTGGGTCGCTATCCATGTCCCAATTCCCGCGGTCCACCCCATTAACCAGCAAGAAGTCTTGCAGATCGCGTAATCCGTGGTTGAAAAGATACTCTTCAGGATATGACTGTGAGTCATCATCAGGTTGATCTTCACCCGGGCTATCACCACTCTGAGCTGGGTGATGATACGGTGGTTGTTCATTTTCAGAATCCGCCTGCCCGTTCTCAAAATCACGATCAACTGCTTGTCCATTGAGCCCAAATATCTCCCTTGCAACGTCAAATATCCTCGCAGGGTGGGTGTTGAAAGATGGATCAGTTATCGGCTCGCCCGGTGGTAAAGGGTCGGAAGCTGATATGCGCCCGGCAACAAAGTGACGGGGAAGATGAGTAGTGACTGAAGGGATATCTGACAACAGAACGTGGCGAGCGACGCCAAGTGTGACCTCAGGAGGCTTCACATCCAAACAATTTTTGGTAAGGGTGTCTCCTACCTCGACGAGGACGGAGATAGCCTCAGGGGTATTCCAGATATCCTTAGCTCGGGCAATGTAGAGTTCGCAAAACAATTCGTGAGCTTGATTTGGTGCCTGCACACCCCATATTCGTTCTGGTATTGGTTCTATGTTCAGTTCCTGTGCTAAGCGGCAAAAGATCCAGGGATATCGAGACATCGCTTTCCGGAGCTGTGACCGAAACTCTGCTGGTTTACCCTGGAGGAAATAGGCCAGGGCGAGCGAACATTGAATATTAGGGAATTCCTCCCACCGACTGTCAAAGAATGGGTGGGAACATAATCTTATAAAATGGTCGTGCTCTCTTCCTCTAATAGCTAACGAATCAATTATCAAATTTATCGCGTATGGGTCGTCAGGATTCAGGCTTAGAAGTAGCTTTGCCCACTCGTAGGCAGTTTTCAGAGTCCCCTTCATCTCCAAATTCTTGATATATCTCCAGCCTGCAAGCCAGAACTCCCGATTTGCCGCGATGTCGAAGTCCAATCTGGCTTTTCCTTCTTTTAGGCGGTTGCCGAATGAGGAATGGACCGAACGACCTATATTGAACAAGGCTCTTTCAAGTAAATCCCCAGAGACGGCATGATCACCCTGATGCTTCGCAATCTCGGAGACTTGCAACAGACTCAAAATGTGATAAGCTGTGTAATTGTAAGTAAAGAACTGTACAGCACTACTATCATTGGTTGGACGCCACTCAACTTACGATTATATTGTAGGTGATGTATAATTCTCTCTGGTTCCATTGACTCGACACATATTTCAAATTGTCTTTGGGCATCCTCGTAGGCTGTATTATGAACGAGCTTATATTCTGTTTGGCCAGATGGCAATTTGTTCACAACCTCCATCCCCAGACCTCCACTTGTCGCCCGCGGCCATTCATCCTTTGCTTGCATCAAAATATTTTTACGCAACGCAGCGCCCGCAAGATCCTGCCCACGGCTTACGGGGTTATAGCGTCCGGTGAGCGCCCGTCCAAGATCCATAGGCTGATTTCTGGTTCTTCGGCCTGTACCCGTACCTGTGGTTTCGGCTGTATTTTCAAACACCACGTTGCCGAACAACTTCTTCATCTCATTGATCGCATTGAGACGCCGTTGGTCAATAGCGAAAAGTTCGTCAAGCTCCTCCGCTAAGCGTTCATCCGCGGCATTCTGTCGTGCTTCCAGGTTCACGTCATCAGTCTGCTGCGAATTCTTAATAGACAAAGCTTTCAGTGCGCGGTCAATCTCATCCAGCTCCTCTTCATCTGTGCCCGGTACATCTGAGGCTTTGATCTCCGTAGCAGCCGTAGCTTTCTTGGTACGTTTCTTTTTCTTCTTCCTTCTCTTGGTATCTGTGGGTTTTGAAGGGGTGAAAGGCCTCGCTAGCGTTTGGACCGGCTCAGTGATTGAGGTTTCTGAGTCAGGTTCGTCTTCAGGATCCTGGCTTCCTAGCAAGTCAAAGGCGTTAAACTTCGTTTGGGACCTTTGAAAATCATGTACGTCGTCGTCCGATTCCTCATGCGAAGTATTCGCCGCCTCCTGTCCTTGCTGCTTTTGCAGCTTCCGTAGCGCTCTGGAAGACATGACCGTGGGATTGGTAGCGGAGTTGTTCACTCACGTTAAAGTTGGCAGTAGTGGGAGAAAGAAAGAGGGCGGTGGCAGAACATGGCCAGCGACATAAAGTCGGCTGTCTACGCAAGTGTCCGAGACGCCTGAGATGGGGCAACCGATCCCGCCATGGCGGAGACCCAAGACCTAACGGGGACTACCCATCGCAGCATTGCAGTAGTGGAATGATGCCGAGTGCTATAGCTTAGTCATCCTCCGCCCATGCAGTAGTTAGATCCCCCATTGAAAGTACATGCACTAGACACATTCACCACATCATTACCTAGATAGATCTCTCATAATATTGATTTTTCATATTTTTCAAAGCCTCTAACTTCTAATTCTAATTCTAATTGAAGAACTCTCTAGTTTACACTCCTACACTAAGTTAAAAAAGAGGATTGAGTGGGGGAATTGATCAAGAGTTAGACCTGATTAGTAATAGTTAGTTAGGTGTGTATTTTAGAGGGTGCGCTAAAAGTGGGCCAAAAGTTGGCACCAACAATCATCCAAAACCCATCTTCTCGAACCATTTAGACCTATCCACGAAAGAGTATCTTTGGGGATAGGCTGCTTGTCTCACATCCTCCCCGCAGCACATCCTCCCCGCAGCTTTTTCTTTCCACGGCTTCGATGCGTCGAGCAGCCACTTACGTTTTCCGTACAGCCCGCTGTCGCCCTCTCCGCAACCTCGGGCGGGCCTCTCCAGCACCGTTCACAGCCAACCATGCAGTAGCGCTACGAGCTCTATCCTCCACACGGAAAACCGCTGCTATAACTCCCGCTACACTCCAATCCTCTATGCACTTCCGCAACTTTTCTCTGGCATTTATTTCAACGTTGGTGGCTTCAGGTGCGTGGTACGCCTACCAAGGTAGCCAACAGCCCGGTGGGGCCACAAACCCTTCTGGCTCAAGCAACAGCCTTGTATCGCCCACTGGAATTCACTCTAGGGGGGTTTCATCGACGACTACTGCAAGTATCAGCGCAGAGGAAACTGCTGCAGCTACACGCCGTGCTCTCTTGGTGGAGAATGATCAGTTCTACGCAAGCAATATTGTTGGCAACGGGCCCCTCTCAAAAGAAACGGACGATTCGGGGAGACGAGTACTGGAAATGTTAACTCCCGAACAAGCAACGCAGAAGCTGAGGCGGAATGAAGAGTCTTATTTGGTAGGCCGTGGAAGAGGCGTGGTCCGATATGATGTTGTTCAATTACCCAGTAACGACCCTATCGAAGATGACCACGCGGAAAAAATAGTAGAAGTACCACAATCAGTTGCCGCTTCTGAGGATGGTACAACATCCAGTGATTGGATGTTTTGGGGGGTATTTGATGGCCATTCGTGGGTTTAACTGCGCACCACGAACTATGACTCCCGCGCTGACTTCTTTATTCTAGAGGTTGGACAACATCTGCGAAACTGCGTCAGGCCTTGATATCCTTTGTTGCACGCGAATTAAATTCGACATATAAGTCTGCTGCCACAGATCCGTCTAAGACATTTCCGTCACCAGAAGCCGTTGACACTGCAATAAGAAACGGCTTCGTCAGGCTCGATCACGAAATAGTCCACGAGAGCGTAAACAAGGTTATGAAATCGAAATCGAAGCGGGTTGCCGCAGAGCTCCTCGCTCCTGCATTATCTGGTTCATGCGCTCTTCTCGCCTTCTATGATAGCAGATCGAACTTACTACGAGTTGCCTGCACTGGAGATTCAAGAGCAGTACTTGGACGCCGGGCAGCTAGTGGGAAATGGGTCGCTACTCCACTTTCAGAGGATCAAACTGGTTCAACTCCATCAGAAGTTGACCGGCTGCGTCGTGAACATCCTGGTGAGCCAAACGTTGTTCGGAACGGTAGGATCCTTGGTAACCTTGAACCTAGCCGGGCTTTTGGGGACGCATTCTACAAGTGGACACGGGAGACCCAGGATAAAATCAAGCGACACTTTTTTGGAAGGACACCACACCAACTTTTGAAGACGCCGCCCTATGTGACAGCCGAGCCTATCATCACTACCACACCGGTTGAACCTCTCAATGGCGACTTCGTCGTCTTGGCTACGGATGGTCTGTGGGAGATGCTTACAAATGAAGAAGTTGTTGGGCTTGTTGGGCAATGGATAGAACACCAGCGCTCCCTTGCTCAGGGTACACACGGGGGCGCCAAAGGCTGGTTGCAAGGCTGGTTCAGCTCTGAGTCGAATTTACCTGTGGAGAATATTGATGCGGGAAAGGCGAGTGGGCAACGCCTCCCAATCCGCCAGCAGCAATATAACATTCCCGCCACCAGCAGCAGATTTGTCGTTGAAGACAAGAACGCAGCTACCCATCTTGTGCGCAATGCACTTGGCGGTAAAGATCAGGATATGGTCTGTGCATTGCTTACGCTTCCTAGCCCATACTCTAGACGGTATCGGTATGTTCCCAATTCCTAGGTCTCAGCCCACCCCCATTTTGCTAACATCGTGGACAGAGATGATCTCACAGTCGAAGTCATTTTCTTCGGCGAAGGCCCTGACAGCGGAGATGTGACATTAAACACCGAAGCCAGCGCCAACGCATCTGAAACGAAACCTAAGCTCTAGAATCTCCAGCTCAATTGCTTTCAGGAGTTTAGTTTGCTTGCGGCACCTTATCGGCCTATTGCACTGTGGAAATGGTGACCTTCGTTCTCCATTAGCCAGCTATTGGAAAGGCGTTACGGATAGACAGATATCTGTATCTTTATCGTTGTTCAATTTCTACTCAGTTGATTGTTTGCATCGTAAATTTCCGAGTCTTTCTCATACTACTTTCTTGGTACGGTCGGATCCCTTACTACTTTCATATTTCTCCTTCTTTTGTTGGGTTGTAGGTCCTTCTTCTAAAGATCTGATTGGCCCAGCTTGAAGAGAATTTCCTGACGAATCTCTCGATATACGTATGTTAAAAGATACGGTAGCTCTTTGATTCTTTCTCGCTTCTCTTCGATATTTGTTCTTCTAGTTATTATTCCCTTTCATGCAGCATGAAAGTGCTAAATTAAGCTACCAATATCCCCAAAACGGGGCTTGCTGAAGGCTCCATAAACAAGTGAGAACAATACACCAAATCAAATTATGTACTGTGCAAGATGTCGGCCCTATCCAAATAGATATCTGGGTATTCTATACCTTAAACCAAACAATTTCAAGTCACTTGCCAGACGCACAAAAAAACACATCAAATCAATGCGCCAATGCCCATGCCGCAGCCTTCCACCCGTTGTGTACTAGTTATACATATGATCTTCATTCGAGAAAATACATGCTCCGAAGGCTCTCTTCCCCATGGCCCCGTGCGAGGCCGGCAAGACATTTTATATCTTGATATATTTCTATTCTCGTCCTCCCTCCAAATCTCCCAGTAAGCTCCGTACGAGTGACCATCCCGTCGATATTCCGTCATATGGTGAACAGAGTTCGGATCCTTCCGGCGCAGTACAGGTCTAGTAGATAGGGGGTAAACTTGTCTGGAGGACCTGTCACTGTAGAATCCATAATGAACATGGCACCCTGTCTCCTCGAACGCTCCAGCCATCTATAAAATATATCAAATATCACACTTCCAGGCCTCGATACTGCAAGAGAAACAAAGGGTTGTTCTGTAGAGAATTTTTTCGCAAATCACATCATCATTCCAAACCGAGGGACCTTACGAAGCTCTTGAGTGCCTGGTTTCCGTTCATACATAAACCTCACAATCGTCCGTTTTCTGCAAGGCATGGGGATGTTCGGAGTCGGCATGTACATTTGCAGAAGCCGGGACTGGACAATTGCAACGCAAGTCGTGGATAGCCAGTAGATACAGAGAGCTGCAGGGGCTTGTGAGTACAATAGAGCCGGCGCAATCCAGATCGACATTGCTTGAAAGATGCGATGGATCGCCCAACTAAATACGCCCTGCAAGTTGCCTAGTGCTACCAATTTGGGAATATCTTTCATCTTGTTAATCTTGGAACCCCAAGTAATATGGATGAACATCAAAACCGAAATAGCAACTGGAAGCACGCCGAGGGGATCTGCGGCCATAAGGTCAGGAAACCATAGCGCCCCTTCAGTGGAGAGAGAAGATTCCACTGGAACTTGAGCTTTGACGCCATTCGGATTAAACCACTGTTGCAAAATGACGAGGAGACCAGGTTGCCACCCACTCATTGATCGGATACTCTCCATAAAAGCGAGCCAAAAGGGGAGTTGTAATATCGGAGCGAACGGAGCGAACGAAGACAACCGAAGGTGATGGCGCTTAAACAACCCCTTTTTGAACTGCGCTGCTGCCACAGCAGTGTGGCGGCTCACAACACGTGGTGATAGAAACTGCTGTTTCTTGGCAGCTGCATCCATGATACTCTTCCTCTTCATATGGGTATAGGCAATCATCGCTGGGGCTACAAGCACTTTTCTGTTTTGTTGCGATTTTGACCACATGAGAAAGGGCAATCCGAACATAACCCGGGCTGTAATAGCTGTGAGCGGGATGGAAGCCACCCAGGGAAGGCCAGTATATGTATGGACCACTTGTAAGAGATCGTGGGCACACTCAATGGATGTGGCAACCATTCGAGTAGGTCGTGACGGGTGGAAATTGCGCCTCTGCTGAGTTGTGACGAGCAGCCTCGCGGCGCAATGTGGAGGAGCCGAGCATGGTACTCGAAGGGGGTGTGCATTCAGGCCATGTCGGGTAGCCCGCAAAGCGCCGAGTCGCAACGAACAGCCGGGAGCGGACATCGTGCGCTTCACCACTCAACCACTCGATTATGGAGCTTCACCCATCCGATGGGCCAAGGAAGCAGGGAGCTGGATGACAGAGTGGGTGAATTGAGTTCCATCAACTGGTCGAGTTGAAAAAGAAGAATCCTGGCCGGGGCGCGGAGAAACTGTATTGCCGGTGTACTATACACGTGATTTATCTGCTTATATAATCACAACCCAGCCACGGGAAAACTCCAGGCACAGAGTAACTTGTAAGATGACAGGAACATCTTCTCCTGGGCAATATCTCGAGCAAAGCTACTTGATCCTCCACTATGCGCTGTCAGCGTCTACTATTTCTCTCCGCTGACTGCATGGCATGATGTTGTCACCCGCGTCATCTGTTGCTACGCTTGTGACGCTTCTCGCGCTCTTTCTGATTGCTCCGCGATTGGCCGCGTTTGTCTTCCGCTGTGTTTTCAGGTTGATTGGATGGCTCATTGCCAGGAAATATCGGTGGAAGCGGGACCTGTTACGTGCCCGGATAAATATAGATGAGAAGGAATATCAGTTAAGAAGACCCAAATATGCGAAGCAGGAAGATGAGGATTGGGAGAAAGTCGAAACAGGCGGCATGGGAACCGCTTCTCACGCGGATGCTGCGGAGGACGATTGGGAAGGCATCATAGGATTTTTTCATCCATTCTGGTAAGGAAAAAGGGATTTAAGTGCTGCAATTAATTGTTCCCGATGCAAGTCGACTAATCGATCTTTCTGCAGCAATGCTGGTGGAGGGGGTGAACGTGTCCTCTGGGCGGCAGTAAGAGCCACACAAAAACGCTGGCCAAAAGCTATATGCGCGATCTACACAGGGGATAATGACCTGAATAAGACCACGATGCTTGAAAGAGTTGAAGTGCGTTGGTTCTTCTTATTAAAATGCAAAATATGGCCGTTAGCTAACATGCAATGTATAGAACCGTTTCAATATCCGCCTCTACCCTCCAACGATTGTATTCTTGTATCTTTCAACCCGCAGATATGTCCTCAGCAGCTTATATCCCCGTTTTACTCTCCTTGGCCAATCTTTGGGTTCTTTAGTCCTTGGATACGACGCATTCACTCTCGTAGTTCCCGACATCTTTATCGACACTATGGGTTATTCCTTCGTCCTGGCGTTCTGCCACTTCCTCTTCCCCTCGACCCCGACTGGAGCGTACGTCCACTACCCTACTATATCGACAGACATGCTCGACTCCCTTGATGATACCTCGGGTACAAAGGGTCTAAACGCTGGCGCAGGAACCGGCTGGAAGGGAATTGCGAAACGACAATATTGGCACGCATTCGCAAAGCTATACGGCTGCGTTGGTGGAACAATTGATGTAGTCATGTGCAATTCATCCTGGACATCCTCACATATAAACTCTCTCTGGCTCCCCTCACGGCAAAAGCGACGAGAATTCAAAGAACCCACAGTTGTTTTCCCCCCTGTGGCCGTCTCGGAACTAAAATCCATAGAAATAGATCTCGCCCATGAGCGAGAATCCCGCGACCCAACAATCCTCTACATCGCCCAATTCCGCCCAGAAAAGAACCACGCCCTAATCCTCCGCGCGTTCTCCCGTTTCCTCAACGAATTCAAAAAGACCCATAGTAAATCCCAACCTAAACAATCTCCACAGCTCATCCTCATCGGCTCCGTCCGCCACTCCAGCCCAGACGAAACCCACATCTACAATCTACGCCTACTTGCCCACGAGCTCAAAATCCGCGACAACACCACCTTCCTCTGCGACGCCAGCTGGCCCACCATCCTCGCCCACCTCCGCCGCGCCTCCATCGGCGTCAACGCCATGTGGAACGAGCACTTCGGTATCGGCGTGGTCGAGTACCAGGCGGCGGGCCTGATCAGCGTCGTGCATGACTCTGGCGGGCCTCGCCAGGACATCGTTGTCGATTTGGGGGAGGGCGGGACGGGCTTTCGGGCTACGACGGAGCTGGAGTTCGCGGCGGCGTTTGAGGCGGCGTTGGCGCTGCCGGAGGAAGAGAGGGTAGCGATGAGGTTGCGGGCGAGAGAGTCGTCGAGGAGGTTTTCGGATGAGATGTTTGCGGAGAGGTGGGTGGAGGAGATGGAGAAGTTGGTTGGATTGGAGCGGAAGAGGAAGAGTGGGGGAGGGGAGAAGAGGTAAGAACTATTATTTGGTCAATGGATTAAGTTCGGTTCTTTGTATCTGTTAATGCGGATCGCAAAGATTTTCGGAAAAACTCATAGAAATATATTGCTCTTTCCCTCCCCCCCAAACAGAAGATTCTTCCTTCATGTATTTTTACCAGGCCGTATTTACTACGACGAATTATTTACTATAGATCTATCTACATTGAACTCGAAATTTCGATACGTTATGAAATGTGGTTTACAATATATATAGCAGGCGACACTCCCCCTACCCTTCCCCCTCTTTGAAGGCTGCAATGTTCACGACTCTATATATCGCTATCAACATGGAGAAACCCACGATGCAAGATAGTAAATATAAAGTCATGCTACCTATCCTCTCATTTCACCGCGTTGGTTCAATCCACTCCTTCTCCAGCAATCAAATACATGCACAGGCTCCATTGTAATACCTAAATAATAAAAAATCGTTCGGAGAAGACGTAAATAACGTAGACTTGATAAATATAAGAAGGAGGGGAAAAAAAAGGTACAAGGGAGGTCAAGAGTTGAACTGGGTATTTGTTAAAAAAAAAAAAATTTAAGAAAATAAAGAAATTAAAAAATTAAAGGGGGCAACAATAAGCAAAGAAACTAATGAGATGAAATCCCCAAAGGTAGGAGAGAAACAAGGAAGCGTATATATTTGAGTGGTGTTGGGGGCCGGGGGGGGGGGGGGGGGGGGGGGGCTCCGTACCAGAGGGCAAAAGGAAAGAAAACAGGAAAAGAGAAGAAAGAAGGAAAAGAAAAAAGAAAAAAGAAAAAGAATCGAAAATAAAATAAAGCAGACAAACAACAAAAAGATTTGGATATATAAAACAATCCTTCCCGTTCACCAGAGAACCCCCCGAAGTTGATATATTATTACTTACGATCTGTAAAACAACACATGATGTCCAAACTCAAAAAAGTTTCATCTTCCTCTATGCCGTACGTTTACGTAGCCAAGGGAGCAAAAAACAAAAGGACAAATACTAAGATCGATAGGAGAAGAAGAAAATGTGAGAACGGAAGCAAATAGAGGAAGCTAACAGGGGGAAGAGAAAAAGTAAAATAAATAAAAAGTAAAAAATAAATAAAAAGTCATCGATATATAAAGCGGCCGTAAAGGGTATTTGTCCCGAACCAAAACTAGGAGAAAGGTAGAATAAAGAAAGCGGGAGGGAGGAGGAGGAGGAGGAGCAGGAGGGAAATATCACAATAAATAACCAATAACGCTATCTCGCGCCCATCATGACCAACCTTCCATTCCTGGTTGACCCGCGCTACCCCCAACTGCCACCTCCAGGCGGAACGCCCATCATCTGATCCTGCGACGGCGGCCCAGGAGAGTAATTCTGACCCGAACCACTTACATACCCACTATTTATCCCCGAATCATCATCGTCGCCGAACCCATATTCCCCACCAGAACTGGCATCATAGCTGCTTCTACCGCCTCCTCCTCCGCCGCCGCCGCCTATATCACTCGTATCATCTTGCTGTGACGCCAGCTGGTCCCACTGGAGAGTTTGCAGCGCAGGATACTGTGCCAGGAGTGCGGCGGGCAGTGTGAAGCCGGTCGGCTGCCCGTCCATTAAGGGGATATTCATTTGCTGGGTCACCGGCTGTAAGTGGCCGTGCATCTGTTGCTGATCTACGTAGTTCCGCTCGCGCTCGAGAGCCTCTTCATCCAGTAAAGGTTTGATACAGACTCTACCTGCCTCGGATCGGAAATGGCGGCCGAGCGCATCAGCTCTTGCGAACCTCCGACCACAGCCCCAGTGGCCCCCACGGGCTAAATCACCACGGCAGACGAACTTCTTTTCCCCCGAGTGAAGTGATTCGTGCCGCTTCCGGTCATGTTGGCGGGCGAAGGCTTTACCACAAACAGTACACACGAAGGGTCTTTCATCAGTATGAGTGCGGAGATGTGAGCGTAAATTATAAGCTCTCGTGAATCGTTTCGGACATAGACTACATTGGAATGTTGCTGGATGTTTCTGTACGCGCTTGGAATCGGTACTGCTGGCACCTGGGCGTTGGGGGTCTGCAAGATCTAGTATATAATTACGATTGTCAATCGAGGAGGTCGACTGCCGGCGATTCTTAGCTGCTGCTGGAGATGTATCACGGGAAGCCGGAGTGCTCAAATTGCCTGTGCTGCCGCAAAACGGTGAAAGAGAACGCGATGAGGCGCGCGCACCCCCTGCAAGGGGTGTGGTCGACGATGGCAGCGGACGAGTCATGGCATGTGCAAATGGATCAGATTTACTCCTGCCACGGGAACCTATTATTCCGTATCATTCAGTAAATAATTCCTTGAAGGGGTGCTCCTGAGGATATATACGAAGGATGGAATACTTACGGCCAACGGGGGGGCTTAAAGTGTCCATATCCGACTCGGGTTTGGCCGGTCCAAAGCTCGTGGTTCGCGAGGGAGGCGCAAATTCGACATTGATAGAAGGGGGAGTCATTTGGGCGGCCTGACCCATATCTCCAGCAGGGCTATTATGACTTTGAAAAGCCGGCGCGGGTGAAGCCTCCGACCTGGAAGTGTACAAGTCAGGAGGACTAGTAGGTCCGAGTTGATTATTCACGTGCTGGGTCAAGAGGAATGAGCCATCTTGACCAGGTTCGGGACTCTGCTGCTGCTGAGGAAGTAAGCGTGGAGAAATGTAGGGGCTATGGCCTGGGCTAAGTCCATGACGTTGATCTGATATTGTGAATGTTTCCATCCCCAAGGCGTTCTCATACAGTCCGGGGTCATTTTGGGCGGATAGTAAGGGGGAATGATTGTTCGTGTCCCCATCAAAGGCATCATGGTGACTCAGATAGGGTGAATGGGCAGCAGAAGAAACGTCCGAATGTTCTGACGGCGCTCTTCGATGGGTCTGGAAAGCGGGACTTCCTAACATTCCATGCCAATCGGACTGGGGTTGGCTCGTTAGAAAGGCCGCACTTGCGGGGTCTAATGACGCAGGGCGAGAATGGCCGGGGGTATAATAGGCACCGGGACTGGACGCGGGGGATGATGGCCGTCCAGGGGACCGGTGGGCGTCAGGCGGTACCAAATGCGGTGGAGTAGGGTTGTGTGGCGATGACATCCTGCTCAAGTCTGCCGGGTTGACGGACTGGTTCAATTGTTGCTGCGGCTGCGGCTGCTGCTGGTGGTGGTGTTGATTAAGCTGTGGGTCAAGCATGAAAGACGAGTCAAAATCTGACGTAGGGTTGGTATTGGTGAAAATAGGAAAATCTTCAAATTGCTGATTTGAGTTTAAAAGATTGGAGAAGTTCTCCTCCCCTTCAGCAGCTTTGATATTAGACGAGCGCTCAAGCTGGCTGAGGAAGCCGGCCTCGAAGGATTGGGAGTACGGTTGAGGTTGACCGAAAGGTTGTGGTTCGGACGACGGGGCTCCAGAAGAATGGAGAAAATGGGTGTCATGCGCAGATGAGGCCAGGTACGGGGTGATTATAGGAAATTGCTCAGTGGAAGAGGTGAGAACACGGGAATGGGGGAATACAGAACCAGCATGATCGAGTCCAGCTGGAGGAGGCTGGTTGTCGTAGTATGGAGGCTGGTGGGAGGGCGATGGATTTAACGAGCGATTCTTATTTTCCGTTGAGAGAGACCTCCCCCTGTTCTCCTGCGGGAACTCCATTGTGTGTGTGTGTGTATGTATGCGTAGATGCGCGCGTGGATATAGGAGTGGTGGATAAAAAGGTTAAGTTTGCCTGTGAATGTATCCTAGAATAGATCGGAGAGTTGGAAGCGGCGGAGCGAACGATCTTCCCAGGGAAGCAAATTCGCCAGTTATGAGGCGGGGAGATTTATTCGCTGACAGGCAACGCGGAGAGTCGAACTAGAACACCTGCAAATGCTAATGGGGAACGACGGCGTAGGTGGCGGTCGTGATGAAATGGATACCATTCGCAGGACCCGATGTGGGCGCGAAGAAAAACGGTGGCTTATTTAATATTCTGCGGGGGATCTGATGCGTGGCGCGAGCATCTGTTTCAAACATTAGGATCTAATCATCAGCGGTCCCAGAGGAGCTACAAGACGTACCAATTCCTAGGAATACATCATACAGCAATAGGCAGAATAAGGGCGGTATTTCGACAATGCGCGTAGAGAAACGAGCGAAGGACTGAATGGTAGAGTCGGGAAGGGGAGGGAGGGGGGGGAGGGGGGGAGGGGGGAAGTGTAGGAGAGGAAGTTGGTGCGGGCTCCTTTGGCGGGCGGACCGCACAGGCAGGGCAAGCAGGTGAAAATGAGATGCGTCTGGAGTAGAGACACAGAAAAGTTACTTGGGCGGCATGGAAACGAAGGCGAAACACGTAGCGATGGGGTTGGGGCGATGAGAAAGGGACTAAGGACGGGGGACGGACGGAGAGCAGTTGGGGATAGTTAAGTAGAAGAAGAAGAAGAAGAAGAAGAAGAAGAAGAAGAGATGAATGAAGTCGAACCGGCCAAGAAAGGAAAGTCGGCGCTATCCCAGCCAGGCCTTGCAACGCCCCAGGTAACTACTCTGTACCGCCAAAGTACTCCGCGGTATCACTTGCGCGGGAACACCAGCCAGAGTTACATTACTCCCTACTGAAAGATACATAAGGAATACAACAAATGTTTTATCCATCCACCATCCTTTCTCCCTTTTCCCACAACCAGCAAATAATGGATAAGAAAGAAGAACCAGCTGGTAGACATACCAACAATATCATGATTTAATCCCCTACCTACATCCTACATGTGTAACTACTCCGTACAGTACAGTACATGCAAGTTACATACTTGCATGCATCGCGCTCTGAACTATTCTTCTTGTACTAGTTAACTCTCCAGGCGCAATCTGCCGCCACGGGAGCCAGATCGCCCTTTAATCGTATTTCTGGTCTTCAGCCCTTTGGCTTCGGCCTAGTTGCAGGTTTAATAATAAACGTCTATTGGTACGGAGTACATACATTCTGCATGGAAATCGGAATCATCCATCAATGTTCGGCTGCTAGTCACAGATATCTTCTCGGTTCGGTAGCTACATGTACATACATGTACATGCACAGCACATTAACTTACTCCATAGTAGACAATCAATTGCAGCTAGGGGGAAATTGGGATATAAACCCCCCCCCACCTCCCCCTCCAAGGCATACTCCGCCAATTCATCATCCCCCCAAATCCTTATTATTTGCACAGTACCTATAGAGAATCATAGACGACATGCAGCTCCATTCCCCCTTTATATCCCTACATGAACCAGGGGAAGAAGAAAAATAAAAATAAAAGGAAGACGGTGTTTCGGCATGCGCATAGTATTATTGTATTTTGATCCATCCATCCCAGTGCCCGACTCAGCCTTGTGGCTGAGCAACTCTCCCCATTATTCCTTGTCCCGCCTGTCCTCCCCCAGGAAGATATGGTTCATTCACCCGTAGCGTAGGGCCTAGCGGGATCTCTTTGCTTTCTGCACACCCGTCCCTGTTTCGGCTCGGGTGTTCCTAAAAATTGCGTCTGAATTGATGACAACTCTGTATCACAATAGAAGTCACTGCGCACTGCCTAAACAGAGCTTTTTTGAATATCCCTTCATAAAATTTGTGATGATGGCTTGTTTCAAAGTGCGCCCTCTCTGTGTCGGGCAACCTTATCAACATAGTAGAATATGTAGGTTTTCTTGTTCTGTTGGTGTAAGTTCCTATCTATCCTCCGACACATACGGGAGTAAGTTATTAGCCACTTTGCTTGAGATTGACCTTGCCAAGTCCCGCTAACCTCTAGTTAGTTAACTATATGGATGCACTAATCTCAAATAGGAAATCATGAGATCAATTCTTTCAATTTGCTAGAACAACATTTCTTTGAATCTCTTATAGTAACTACTGCGTATATCAATTCAATTATTTCAGTGCTATCAGAAGAGCGACATAACGGTAATGATCTTTTGGTAGAATGATTTTTTATTTTCATATCTCAACTGAAAGAGTGCAAAGTGTCAGCTCAAAAAAGATCGTTAAAAATAAACATTGTGATGTTTTTGAAATATTAATAAACGTCCAAGTATATATTAATATAAAAATCTTCATATGATTGAGAGGAGGGGAAGGGGGGGGCGCCGGGAATATAGGGGCTAGCAGGCAGGTCGGCAGCTAGCTAGCTAGGAATCTCGATCTCGCGGATATGAGAGGCAGGCCGGAAGCGGCAGCTGTCAATCTCTATTCTCATAGAGATCCGGCAGATATCGGGAGGCAGGAAGGCAGGTGAATTATTACCTCTAAATATTAGTGATCTTCAAATTATAGTATCTCAATAAATATATATCATTAAAATTTCTACCATAGATAGCACAAAATGAAGCTAGCTAGAGAGACAAAGAATCTAAATAATAGTTTTATAATACTTGAAGAAATTGAAGAAATATTTAGTGTAGATGTATGAGATTGAAGATGATGATATCTTTTGTACGACAGTACGAGGGGCTTGGCTTCTCACAAGGCATTTCTTCTCAAGAATTCTGTACAAATATTAAGTGGCAGACCCTCATTAATCCGAAAGTAGAGGGCTGAGCATGCTGATAATGAGAAACACACGGGTTAAGTCCATTTTTATTCAATTCATTCATTGCCGTGTAGATATGCGCCCAGGCATGCTAACATGTTAGTTTCACCAAAGCTAAAATCTATAAATAGTGCCGGGGGGGGTTCAACCGTATGTAACTGCGTAGGTAGGTAAGGTAAGGTTATGCTATGCGCCCATCTGAGACTGGCAGCAACCAGCAACCGCCAATCATGAATCATCAACCAGCATATTCCTCTCCAGGTTCCCGGTTCCCGGTTTCTAGTCCCGCTCCGAATCCCCCGTCCCACTCCTCGCTTGAAGCTTGGCGCCCAGTGTCTACTCCGTACCGTAGTTACCGTACAACAACCCTTTATTCTGCGGCAAGGCAGACTGACGAGTGTACGGAGTACCTTGCTCTGTGTTAACTAAAGTAGTTATCGACATTATTTAATATTGTTTCGAAATCTCCCTGTTTCACCCTGTTGGCGCAGAGGGATCTCTTCCTTGTTCCCCTTTTTCTTGCTTCTTTTAGATTAAATTGTTGTTTTACTGCATTTCCTTCTTATTCCCATTTTTGGTTATATATTTACAATTTATTAATATCCCTACATGCCTCCTCGTACATCTAATATGTGATCGCGTCGTGTTGCACTGCCGTTAAGTAATGGGAATATCAATTGATGGTCATAATATTAGTATGGCCAAACAGTGTTCGAACATATTGCCTAGTTACCTACGCTGTAAACCCGCAAGCCGATTACTCTGGAGACGCACTCTGGAGACGCACATAGCTTCAAAAGTAGATAGATATATCCAGTTACTTTTTTCCCTCAGCCCTCCTTATTTACCAATCTCAATATATATGTCTGTCTGCCTGCCATTCACTATTTCCGTTCGAGCTTGTGGTCAGCATCTTGATGACTTACGTTAATCAAAAAGAGCTTAGCCCTAATCGATTTTGCCAAATGCGGTAATTCTCTCATCACACCCCCTCCATGGCTTCCAAGGCTAACAGCGGCTAGGTATATATATATATATTATATATACATAAAATGTTACCATAGATTAGGTTATCTGATCGGATAACTAGCACATCAACGCCGAAAATGGCCCCGAGGGATAATAAGCGGGTGATCCTGGAGGGGCGTATCTGGGTAACCCCCCCCCCCCATTCTTCTAGTAGACTTCTACCCCGCATGCAATTGAGCTTAGAGAAACTCAGAAATGAAAGTAACTCAACCGAGGAAGCAGACCACTGTTTCCTACAGAGGACTATGGTGGTCGTGGGAAGCAAAACAACAAATTATATATATTATATTAAATTGAAATAAATCAATCAATCTAGCCACCAATTAACCACTGTCCTTTTCTCTTTACACCGTGCCAGTCAGCGCCTATCACGTTGAAATCGCTTAAAGCTACCATGACCTCCTTTTCTGTGGAGGAAATATCCCAGGCAGTAGAGCGGCACCGTCCGGCTTTCGCCCCGTATGAAGAGCTGTACAAACACCTGCACGCCCACCCAGAACTCTCCCACCAAGAATTCAACACTGCTAAATATGTCGCGAACAAGCTCCAACAGCTGAGCATCCCAGACCTCCAAATCCACACAGGAATCGGCGGCACCGGCGTCGTCGCCGTCCTCAGAAATAACAGCAACAGCAACAGCAATGATGGCCAGAATGGGCCAGCAGGCCCAACAGTCCTCCTCCGCGCCGAACTCGATGGGCTCCCAGTCCACGAGCAGACCAACCTCCACTACGCCAGCAAACAAACAACCCAGGACGCCAATGACGACAACAAATTAAAACCCACCATGCACGCCTGCGGCCACGACATGCACATGGCCTGCCTCCTCGCCGCAACAGAGGCCCTCACATCCACACCCCTCCGCGCCCGCTGGCACGGCACGCTCGTGATCCTCTTCCAGCCCGCCGAGGAGAGCGGCGACGGTGCCACCGGCATGATATCCGATGGCCTCTTCTCGCCCAACTCGCCACACAAAATCCCCATCCCCGACGTCTTCCTGGGCCAGCACGTCCTCGCGGCCCGCGCGGGCACCATGGGCATGAAGCCGGGCGCGCAGATGGCCGCCTCGGACTGTCTCAAGGTCACCTTCCACGGGCGCGGCGGCCACGCCTCCATGCCTCAGTTCACCATCGACCCGATCGTCATGGCCAGCAGCGCCGTGGTGCGGCTGCAGACCATCGCCAGCCGCGAGGTGACCTCGGGCAGCGTCGAGGGGCTCGGCGTCGTGTCCGTCGGCAGCCTGCATGCGGGCAGCGCGCCGAATATCATCCCCGCCACGGCGGAGATGGAGGTGAATGTGCGCACGGCGGATGAGGAGACGCGTGCGAGGGTGCTGGCGTCCGTGGAGCGGATTGTGCGTGCGGAGAGCATGGCGAGCGGGGCGGAGAGGGAGCCGGAGATCAGGCGCACGTTGAGTTTCCCTGTTACGGTGAACGATGGGGCGGTTACGGAGAGGTTAGGGGTTACCTTTGAGCGGCTGTTTGGTGATGGCGGGTCCGGGGAGGGTGGGGGCCTGTTTCGCTTCTGCCCGGATTGGCCGCGAAGCAATGCGTCGGAGGACTTTGGGTGTCTGGGTGCGGCGGTAGGGAAGCTGAGTTGTTTTTGGTTTTTTGGCGGCGTGGATCCGCAGGTGTGGGATGAGGCGGAGAGGAATGGGACGATTGCGAAGGATGTTCCTGTGAATCATTCGCCGTTTTATGCGCCGGTTATCCAGCCCACTATGCGGGTGGGGATTGATGCGTTGGTTGGAGCGGCGTTGACATTTCTGGGGAAGAGGGGGTGAAAAATTAACGCTTTCCACAGTGATTGGGGAGATTGTAGACATTTACTTTTATGACTTTTAATATTTGATAATGTACCTATTATGATATAGACAAAACAAACTGAGTGATCCAAATTTGAATCAAGTAGAGGGTGGGACTTGCATGAATACAAAAATTCACTTGATTGCTGCTGTAGAACACAACGAACAGCTAGCTATATGAAAGAAGGCTATGCACAAACCCAACAGAGGGTCAATATGAAAATAAGTAAATGATTCCGAAAATCCCACCGCGTAAGCATGTAAAGCGCAGTCTATAAATTAAAACTAACATATAATTTATAGAGAGAAAAGGAAAAAGCTAGGAGATTCAAAGAAGCAATTCAAAGGACCAACTTGTTAATGACCTAATCAATCTATCCTCAGAAGAAGAACCCAACCAATTTCCTTTCCTGCGCCTGCTTGAAGAAACTATGCGTATGTAGATGGGGTAACTAAAATTGGGAGACTAAAGTGGAAGGGGAAAGGAAGAAAAAGGCTTAACATAAATCCACAGACGGGGGGGAGGGGGATGGAGAGAGGAAAGTAGTATTGCAACGGGATGATGTGACAGGCTTGGGACTGGGCTTTCTTTCGGTCTCTCCTCCATTTTCTAGTAATTTGTAGCATAGTGTGGCCCTCCTTTTATCTTTTATATAAAAAGGAAGGGAAGGTGAGCCGTGGAGAGGGAGAGGCGAGGATAGAGGAGAGGCTCAGTTGCATTTAAGACGTGATAAAGATAAGGCAGGTAGGGTGGTAGGTAGCGCGGGCATGAATGAAGACGATACATTTGGAAATTATGAACATTCAATGCGTATGTGTGTTGTGTGTACGGAGTATATGGGGTATGCATGCGGAATGTCGAGCGTATCTGTCCAGTTCATGATGGTAAGGTCTCCCTAAAACCCAACCAGAGTTCATGAATATAGGACGAGGGACAAACAGGAGGAAAAATAATAGTTAACGCCTAGGTATATGCATGCTTCCCAACCCTTTGCCCAAACATGCAGATAGAGAAAAAGAAATAAAGAAAATTAAAAATAAAAACCATACCAAACCAGAAACGTCAAAAGATATATATAAACATGCTTATCCAAGGGGAGGAATAGAAAATGAAATATAACCACCACCTCTACTTCCCATGCAGTCTATTCATATCATCCTCTTCGACTTATCGACCGGACATGAACTCCGTTTCCCAAAAACAATGCCTTCATCTTCCTCATCATCATCCTCATCATCATCCTCGTCATCGCAGTCATACCTGCACTCATCGTCATGCGGTCTGTCAGCCTGCATTTTTCGAGCTGTGACTGTGTCTCCAGTGCTAAGAAGCGGTGGTACCTGCCCCGAGCCATCTAGCTCCTTCTCCCTCTCTGCCTTGTAGGTGTAAAACCCATCGGCAGATAGAGACGAGGCACCCGAGATTACTGATGGAATACTGGGGTGCGAGGCGGAATGCGACATCCCGCTTGTGAGCTCGTCGGCCGACGATGAGGATATAGTGAGCGCTGACGGAGGTGAGGTGATTGGCTCTCCTACCGGATACTTGAATGACAGGCTTTGTTCTCGGCCTGTTCGATGCGATTCAGTATCAATAGAAGAAAGCATGCCCCGAGCAGATAACGAGCCGCCGCGTTCAGTCGAATCCTTGCACAACGGGGAGCCTGCTTGAGCGTGATGCTTTCGATCTTGATGCTGCATTCGTTGCCGTAGGAGTGTCTCACGTGTTACGTAGAACGACTCAGCTGGAGCATCAGGGGCCTGTCGATGAAAGAGGGATTGGCGGCGTGATAAGGTACTTGCTCCAGTGGGTTCGTCATGGCCCGCCGATGATGATGATGAAAGAGAGGCTGATGATGGACCTCGGGTTAAGTCGGGAGATTGGACAACGCCTGTGGCAGACGCTGTACTAACTGCAACAACTGGACCGGAATGGGCGTCACCATCTACTGATCGAGCACCTGTAGACGGAGATCTCTCACTTCGCCAATCAGGGTTCTGCCAACCCCATCCTAGACGATGTCCGGCTCCCCCTAACATACCGCCAATGCTAGACGTTGGTAGTGTTTCGGAAGGTGTTGTTGTTCGAGGCCGTACCAGAGCCACATCCGTAGTCAATGGGCGGATCGTCTTGGTGGACTCAGAACTCGAAAACGTCGATGATGATGTGTCAGAAAGGTTGGGGCGGCGTCCTGCGCTTGGGAGGTGGTCCTTCGGAAACGAGATTAAACTGGCATTGCTCCCCCTTCTATAGAAGCCACGGTCCTCGGACGAAATAGGGCTCGCAAGCGAGTTATCTGAAAGTGGGAGTCCATGATCTCTTAAAGCTCGGAGAGGAGACCACGGTTCGGAATCAAATTTGATCGGAGCTTTGCTGCTGCCCTCAATGTCATTGTCCTTGGAAGAAGCAACACTATTCGAGGATGGAGAAGATATCATCCTGTTAGGAGTAGCTATAGTAGGCGCTCGTCTCCGCCCATCTTTCGATCGTCCAAAAATCGAGCCGCCCCATTTAGCCACATTTGACCGAACTCGTTCAATAAAAGGCATTTTCGTGACAGCCTGTGTGACTTCTTCTTTCGAGACCTCGATCCTCTTGCCCTTGCTCTGGTAACTCGGATCCGTCGTTTCGAGCCATCGCTGCTTGTCAGGGATATCACGAAGCACCCAAGGGTGATGCTTAATCTCCTTCAAAGTTATCCGCTTGGAAGGATCCTTCGTGAGTAAGCGCCTCAAAAGATCACATAACTCATCATCGATATCTTCATAGACAAGTTCATCATCTGTTCGCTTGTTGCTGTTCATCACATGCTGAGGGTTTGATGACCAGCTGGATGGGGTGTCCACCTCCACTGCCTTTAGACGTTTACGAGGAATGAACACTTCATTCTTCACGATATTGTGGAACAATTTATACTCATCTTCGCAAAGGAATGGTAGCCTTCCGAAAATCATTCCGTATAGCGTAACACCTAGCGACCAAACATCGATTGCGCCCGTGATTTTCGGAACGTTGCCAATTTGGTCCTCAAATTCCGACCCTGTATAGCAGAGTTCCGGTGCATAAAAAGCTGGCGTTCCAACAGTTTTGGAGAGTTCCCGGGCGTCATCGAGTTCGGTGGCATCTGTCTCCGCAACTCGCTCCTCATCACCATCCCGGATAGGTCGTCCTAGGTAGGATACACCAAAGTCGGATATTTTCACCCGGCGATCTCCTGTGACTAGTAGATTTGCTGGTTTAATGTCTCGATGTATGATACCTTGGTAGTGAAGATACTCCAGTCCGAGCACAGAATCTCTAAATGCACATCGGGCCTGGGATAGTGTCAAGCATGGGACATACATCTCATCGTCGTCGGACAGAAGTTCCGGCTCTGAAGAATGAGAGGTAAAAAGGCTTGAGACTGTACTCTGACGTCGTTCAAGTTGAGTCTCAGCCGCATATGCACCATACATGCTTCCTTCTACGGCCGCCAGAACCGTATCACGTAACCTACTATCCAGCTCATTCGCAGAGGCGAAAGATTTGCTGGTTAGTTCGGGCGTGCTGGAGCCGTCATGAATGTGAGGCGGGATCTCAGGACCCATTTCGTCATCCGATACTCCACCGTGTTCCAAACTCCACGCAGGAACACCCGAGAACTGTGGCGCAATTGACTTTCGCTTCTTACGGGAAATTTCTTTCTGTCGCCTTAACTGGTATTGCCTCTGAATCTCCTCCATGAGAAAGGGGGAGTCCGTAATTCCTTGCTTTTCGTGATCGAGCCTGAATTTATCCGTGGCCACAATATCCCGAAGGCCCTTTTTGCGCCAGACGATCTCGCCATTCTCCACATACTCTAACACAATATAAACCTTCTGCTGGTTTGGGTCGTCAATCACCTCAAGCAGACTGACAACATTCTCATGTCTGGCTTTCTTGAGAATGGCAACCTCCTTCTTGACTTTATCTTCAGGATTGCCCAGTTTACCTAACCGACGACGTTTCGAATACCTTTGGACGATTTTAATTGCTACTTTCTTTCCAGTCCTCATATGGCGGCCAAGTTTTACCTTCCCGTGCTCGCCTCGTCCCAGTTCATCGAGGATTTCGTACTCGTTAATTAGCTTGTTGCCGGTGAGCATGTCGCGATCAACCTCAACTGTGTGTGTTCTGCAAATCCATACATCAGAGATAAGCTCACTCCAGTACCGAGGGATCAAATAACAAAAAGATTTGTCACAGTAGAAGAACATTACAAAATTTCCAAGGTAGGACTCACTCTTTTGGCTCTTGAAGATGGGTGGGATGTAGGTAAGAAAACGAAGCACGGCCTTCTGCGGTTTTCGGTGGAGATGGATGAGAGGAACGAGAGGAGAAAAGGCCAGGGCTCGATATCGGAGTGTTCCCAGTGGTGCGCGAGCCTAGTACGTGAGAGCCAGAATCTCGAGTAGCCCATGATGGACTCGAGGCAGATAAGGGGTAGGGTGATGGGTAGGAGCTGCGTGAGCGGAGATGCGGTTGAGGGCGAGTTGGGTGAACTTGTGACTGAAGAACAGCGTAAGATTGGTCCGGATAGACCGGTAGGTCATTGACTGAGTGCCCAGCGCGATGCGACGGAGTGGGATGTTCCGATAGAGGGCTTAGGGGAGGATTGGATGATTCAGGGACTTTTGGAGTCGTCAACTGTGGTGCTGGAGATGTTCCAACGTAAGGGCTCGAATAGTCCGTCGCAGGTTCCAGACCAGCATGGTCTGCTAAGGAGAGTAACGAGCTTGATGAAGTGTTGGTTGACGAGCTCCGGGATGCGTTCGAAGAGTGTGGGCGAAAAGGGAACACATGAAGCCTGTGGGCTAAACCACGACGTTCCTCTAGCCGGCCATCAGGCTGAGTGCCCCTCTGGCGGCTTATCCCACCAGGCATCTGTCTTGAGTTGGCGCCACTTGTGAGGGAGAATCTCCGCGACCTCGACGTCCTACCGGAGGTATCTGAAACTTCTTCACGTTCTAAGAGCGTAGAGCTATCGAGGGATTGATGTGACCCTCGTCGACCTCGGCCGTCCGAGTTATTCGATGAGCTGACAGGCGATTTCCCTAAACGGTCCATCTTACAAACTGCTTCTAGCTTTTGTTTGTCTACCGTGCCTTTTCGATGTTTCTTTATCTTGATTGAAAAGCACCTCGTATCCTCGCTATCGTCGTCGTTCAGGAGATGTGCAGGCGATCCGAGTCACTGTTACAGGAACGACCACGGAAAGAGAGGCATGATAAAAATCACCGTTCCTGTTGAGCGAACCAGCAGACGAGTGTTAAATCCTCATCCCTTATAATTTGGTTGCTCATCCGTAACGCGATCGGAGGTTGTTCTTTTTTTTTTTTTCCTTTTTGTTTTTTGTTTTTGATGTTCTTTTTTTCGTTGCGAGGGGGTAGTAGGCCAGCTATCTAGCCCTGCAATCGAAGACCTGAAGGGGGATTCACTTGCACATTTAATAAAAGGCAGCGAGAACGAAGCAGGTTGACGGTTTGCTGGGCAGAGGTGGACTTGTGGTGGAAGGCGGAAAGTGGGGGCACGGAAATGAAATTCCTCAGCCCGGGAAGGTCAAAGTCGGCTAATAGAGAAGTTGTTAAAAAGAGACAATGTAAGTAGACAATGGGTGGGTAAGTGTTGCAGGAATGGTCGTTGATGGGACACAGACTCGCGGGCGACGAGCGAGGGAGGCAAAATAACCAAGATGGCGGGTGGGTTGTAGTGAAGCCAAAGGAACGTCGATCAATAAAAGCCGATAGGAAGGAGAGATTAGAAGACGAAGAAGGATTGAGAAATATATCCTGTTTGATAGCAAAAGGGAATGCTATTTAATTGCTGAGCTTCCGGGGAGGCAGAGGAAATGGGAGGGGGAGGGAGGTTTGATGGAGAGCAAAGACTTTGATTGATTGAAGGTTGATTGAGGTTTGATGGACGACGACGACGACGACGGATGCTGGGGCGGCTTGAGGATCTGGCGGGTCGGGCGATGTCTGGTTGGTCAGTATTCTGTACGCGTATCGGTCACGTAAACAATGGGACGGTATGGAGCGGTAAGGGTGGGTATGTAATAAGGGGTAATGTAATGTATGTAAAACCGTTGTATCTGTATCAAGTTTCTGGACTGCACTATTTTTTTGTCTTGCTGGATTGGATTGGCGATGGGAGCTACTTGGACTCATAGGATGATAGGAGGGGGGAATTCCATATTGTCCAGGCCCTAGGCCCGGTACTAGGCGAGGTCGAACTGACTACGGAGTAGCTTGCTGAAAAGGGCCGGTTCCTGCTGCAAGTCGTGGCTTTGACCCTTCACTAGTTTTACTGAGCCCTTGTGAGATGGGGCAAAGCAAGCCTTTCCCAAGGTAATGTACATGTACATTACATACGTTACATGTACTCTGTACGCAGCGTACAGTACGGAGCACATACCTCGGGAACAGATTGGAGCGGCGTTGCGGTTGAGCAACCCACAGACCCTCTTCGTACTGCTCTTACCGTACACTAGTAAGAGCCGCCCTGCTTAAGGCCTCAGCTCTCGGCTGGATTATTCGCCGCTTACATAACTATACAGTAGTTACTCTTGGAGGATAACGTTGTTGTGTTGTGTTGTAATCTAACTACGCGAGTTACACTAAATGGATAGGTTGGGGTGGCACGTGACTAGGGTAGGTGTAGTAATCACCAACACCCCCCCTTGCTACACCGTGGCCTATAATAAGCCGCCACCCGGGGCCTCCCTCATCCTCAAATCTTTCAAAAATGCAATAATAATTAATTACATGAATCAGACCCTGATTTCCTCATTAGAAAAGATGTCTGTACAGCAATAATCATAAAAATCAAGAAATATATATAAAATTCATTGATTTACTGTATTATTATTATTATTTAATTATTTCTTTCTGATCTCTTTTAAATCAATTCTTTTAACAAAATCTTCAAATGCAGGCTTCATCAGTGACTTGATAAGTCTGTCAGCTATATTCACTGTAGAATTAACATATTTCATCATGATTTTCCCTTTTTCAATCAAATTATAAAGAATATGATATCTAATCTTAATGTGATGTGATCTTCATGTTAAGAATTCTTTCTTTGCTAGATCAATTGCTCTCTTATTATCAACTTATAGATGTAAGCATATTTTCACTTTTTCATCATTCATTAACTCAGTATTATATAACATATCATTCAATCAGATTATCTTATAAGCTGTCTTACTAGCTGCAATATATTCAGCTTCTGTGATTAATTTGATAATAGATGTCTGTCTCTGTAACTACTATGAGATCAGTGACCTGTTAATCAATATAACATAGCTAATAGTTAATTTATATTAAGAATCTGCCTCTGTTCAGTTCAAATCACAGTATATCACAGAACTCAGATCATCTTCTATCTTCTTCTTATACAATATATCATGATTTTTCATCTTCTTAATATAATATAGAACATGCTTCAACACTGTTCAACATACTTTATATGAATATAAGTTAAAATATAAGAGATAGTTAACTGCAAATATCAGATCTGATCAGCTGCTTGAGATTAAATACTGTAATAATCTCAATTCTTAATAATATCTTGTAGCTGTAAAGTTATCATTCAATTCACTATTCTCATCAGATGAAAATTTCAGTTGTATATCTGTTATTATAGAAGTCTTCACAGAATTCATCTTATTTATGCTGAAATCTTCAAGAATCTTCTTAATATAATAACTCTGTGTAACTGCTAGATCATTATTTCTCTGATATTTAATCTTTATTTCAAGATATGACTTAGTCTCTTTAATATTCTTTGTCTCAAATCTCTTTACAATCTCTCTTAATACTCAGTCTAATTACTGTTCTTGAGATTCTGTCACTCAACAATCATTGATATGTAATATCAGATAGATCTTGTGAACAGAGTAATATAGAAATTCACTGTTATAAAATGATATCTTGAATCTTAATATGATGAGATGTTTTATTACTAGAAAATACTATACTCTTATAACTTACTTCATTTTATATAGACTCTGATAAAGTAGTCTCATCAAGTTCTCTCTGTCATACTTAATATCTGTGAGTAGTTATATATAGATTATCTCATTCTGTGATAGTATATTATTCAAAAATGTAAATACATAGTCAATTAATTTAATCTTTCATTCTTTAGTAGTTGATATAATGAATAGACTATGTGATGTAGACTCTGATATTACTGCAGTATACAATTTTATATAATGAATACTCTGCTATTATAAGAACTCTCTAATCACTCAGTAAGCTCTAAAGTGAATAATTTCTCTCTTATTATTGAATTTTCAATTATATACTCATTTATCTGTAAGAATATTCATTTTCAGAGTCTTCTCAATAATAATATATATCTTCTTCTATTCAAATATCTTAATCTTCTTTTTTATTATCTTATATTAATAGTCTCAGTCTGAGCTTCTTTTGACTTCTATCAGTGTAGTTAATTAATCTGTCAGAATACTTAGAACAGAATTATTCTTATTAATAAGATCTTCAGACTCTTTATTCATAACAAGCTATATATAAGAATAAGTGCTCGCAGGTGATTATTCAGGTGTTTGCAGCTTGGCATGATATGTACTGTTAACTACTAGAAGTGTTCACAGTAGAAAGATAAATGTAGAGGTCAAGTGTATAATAGTATTCAAGCTGAGTTATGAATAGTATTCACAAACTCCAGTCTATATAGTTGTGTGTAGTCAAGGGCCGCTAGCTCTATTGATTACATGAGAGATAGAAATAGAGATAAAGAATTCATAAGAAGCAGAATTTCTTACATACCTCTCTCTCTCTAAGGCTTTGTTCATGAAGCCTTTCACTGAGTGACTTCATAGTCAGCTCAGCACTGCAGTGATACTCACTAAAAACCCTTCATATCTGTAAAAAACCTCAGTGAGGAAAAATCCCTTGTTATTATAAAGAGAAAAGAGTCTGTCACTCAGTTTCTTGTTCTGTGAGATTCTTTATGATCTACAGATTCTTCTCTGACTATCATGCAGATTTATCTCATATCTTTCATACAGAAGAGTTTCAGTTGACTCTTAATCATTTTCACAAGATTCTTGTGTGATCATCATACAGATTCATCTCACAGATGAATCACTCTCTATAAGATTACTCTCATCAAAGAGAAATATTCATAAGTTGATCTTTCATTCATTCTTATAAATCATTGCTCTTTGACACTGTAGAATTGTGAGGAATTTTTCATTCTTTCATTAACTCTGTAGAATTGTAGAATCAAGATATTCACAGTCTGTAATCACTCTTTATAGTTATATAGAAAGATTCAGACCTGTGATTCACAATCACTTTTATTTACTAGAGTGATCTGACTGTTCTGCAGAATTACTCACAGTGTAAGTAAACCTCTCTAGAGTAGTATAAATATCTCAGATCTGTCTGTAGAATCTTATCTTCTTTTTTCTTTTTCTATAACAGCTTTCATCTTTATAAACTGTGAGTATTCTCATTCATTCATGAAGTGTTTTTACTCAGATAACAGAGAGAGAGTGTTTCTGACAATGTCTGTATATTGATTCAAGAACTTCTCAAGAATAAAAATTTTTTTAATTTCAATATCTTTATAAACAATGTCTGGCTGTCACTGAGCTTCTTATGAGTGTTCTCACATCTTCTTCAGTTGCTTTTTATCAGCTGATGAAGCAGGGACACTGCTGTTCATAACTGTATCTTCACTCTTCTCAGCCCTGCCACTGCATCTGATCTTTGAGCCAGCAGCTCATTTCATTCCTTCCTCAGGCCAGTTCCTGACTTCAAGCAGTGCAGTTCTTCTCTTTACTGTAAGTCTTCTCATAAGTAATTTCTTACAGACTCTAGCTAATAGTTCTTGTAAAGCTCTCAGTGTTGTCAGTGTCTTCTGCAGCTCTGCAGACCTATGATCATTCTCTCTCTGCCTGCACAATCTCTGACCAGATATATGCAAATATACCTAGGTTCTCTATCAATGATTCTCACACTGCAGCGCATTTCTGCAATCTCATTGTCAATGAGAGATGAGTTCTCAGATACTTATAAAATCTGAGTAGTCAAGACAATGTGAATATCATGAATTTGTGATGAGAGTTAATCTGAGCAGATGAGCTCTCTCTTCACATTCTTATTGTTTCTGAGCTGAATACTCCAGCATAACTAAGAGAGTGAACACAGCTTCATAAGAGATATCTGGTTATATATACAGATGATCAGTCTTCAAGACTCTGCTACAACTGCATGCACTCTGATGTCTGACTTCTCTGAAGTCTGTGCATTTCTGACAGTCTTCATATCAAATGTAATAATTGTCTGTATCACAGACATGATACTCTCTGCTTCTTTGAAGAGAAAAATTAATAGTTGTGAGAGAATTGAGTGTCATAAGTGTTAATAGTATAAGTGTGGATTTTCTTTATTTTTTCTTTATTAGTCTCTAAATTGCATTTACAGCCCTGTTTATTTTCTTATTTTTTAGCTTTAATAAGAACATGTTTTCTTCTTTTCTTGCATACACTGCAGACTGTTCATCTCAGTAGAAACTCATCATCTTATAGACTAGAATTTGTAAATGACAGTGTTAATATCTTTATTATAATCAGATTCTTAGTGAAGATTATATCATTCTGACTTATCAGAATTCACAGTATGAAAGTCATGTCTCAGCTTCTGCAGATATCTTATCTGTCTGAATGATTCTTAAGTGAACTCATTCATCTTGTCAGAATACTCTTATCACTGAATTTTGAATCAGAGCTTATAATCTCACTTCTCTGAGTTAATAATTTCTTTAATCTGATATTCTCTTTCACTCTCTAGTGCTTTATAAATAGAGTGATGAGTCACAGGATTCTCTTCTGAGAATTCCTTATATTTACAGAGTAAAGAGACATGAAAAACATTGTACATCTGTAACTCAAGTGACAGTTTCAATCTGTAGAACTGTGAGTTAACTTTCTTCATAATCTTACAAGACTCTGTCTGCAAGAGATTCAGCTTCTTACTAGATCTCTATATAATGATGTTTTCTAGACTCAGTCAGACTCTATCATCTTTCTTGAAACTCTTTATAATATGCTTAAAGTCATAGTATCTCTTCTGATACTCTTGAGTCTTTCTCAAGAATTTGCAGGCTTTCTCCCAGATCTCCTGAATTCTCTCAGCCTGTTTACAGGCATTATCACACTCTATAGTGTACTCTTATGAGTTCATCAAGATCATCTGTGAATGAGTCTCAG